AGAGAGAGTACATAAGAGGATGGAAGCCATGAGAAGAGAGTAGAAGAAAGAGAGAAGAGAAGAGAAGAGAGAGTAATAGAAACTGAGAAGAGACAGAGACCTCATCGTGTTGCTTACTTCTATAATTGTGTAGGTACTATTTGGCATCCTGTGTGTCTGTGTGTGTGTGGTGTGTGAGTGTTTGCTGTGTGATCAATCAATTTATGTGGAATGGAGCAAGAGAGAGAGATGAGGGTGATGGAGATCAGAAGAGAGAGATAAGAGAAAGAGTGAAGGAAAGAGGAAGAGAGAGAAGATGAGAAGGGAGATGAGGTTTGGAGATGTGATTGAAGTGTACTAGAGATCTGGAGAGAAAAGAGATAGAGAGAGAGACGAGAAAGGGATAAAGACACCACACACACACACACCAACACACAGCACACACACACAGAGAGAGAGAGAGAGACGAGAAGAGAAGATGAGAGAGAGAGAGAGAGAGAGAGAGAGAGAGAGAGAGAGAGAAGAGAGGAGAGAAGAAGAAGGAAGAGAAGAGAGTGGACAGAGAGAGAGAGAGAAAGAGTGCGAGAGAGAAAGATGAAACGAAGAGCTAGATAGAGACAGACAGAGATATATATTACAACGAAAATGTCCCGCTTTCCATAGAATTTTGTCGTTACAAAAAGGTGCCAGAAAATAGATTCTCTCTCACTGATACATAATCATCAGTTCAAGAAGATTAGTGTAAAATGATTTTTCATAAATAGGTTTATTAATTGGGATAATATCACCAATGTGATTTCTTAATCACAAAAATTATAATTTATCAATCTGATCGATTGTTCTTAATCCTCTTTATTTTGATGATTGATTATAGGAATTATGATGATAATCACGATTATGACAATGATAATGATAATGATAATGAAAATATTGATAATGAAAATAATCAAAATGATAATAATGATAATGATACTAATGATAATGCAAAATGAAGCGAAAACTTGATAAAAGAAAATGTGGTAATGAGAGTCAAACTTGTCCTTCTACCAGTAGATCGCAGACCTTATAGAATAATTAGACAGCTAATTTATGCATCATATTTTGCATACGGAACCTTCTTGTTGTCGTGTCGTAGAAAAGGTGTAGAGGCAATATTTTAATGAATTCACTAGCCCTCCAACATGCAAAGGAGACCATAACTTGATCATAAATCTTTGAAATAACTTAATCCATCGTTAGTTATTACCTTTTGAATACGATACAGTGTTGGTTCTCGTCCTCTAAGCTCCGTGGTCTCCCGTAACTCCCTTCAAACTATCTTTAATCCCCCATCTTTACGAAAAGTTAACTCCTCAAACAAGTTACGTTCGCTAGCCTTCGCCGAGACAAGCCAACCCTTAACCACTGCAATAATTTAAACCCCGGTCTCTACGTCGGTTTCGCCCCATAAGCTAGAAACACTAAGATCCCGGCTCCAAGACATCATAATTTTCTAGCACCCGATGTAACTCTTCGTCCCTCGGGCTCTGCAAATGGTTAGATTTCGGCCCCTCTCTCCTCGGATACAATTTCGGTCCGCGGACGCCCAAACCAGTTAATTATCGCAGCCTCGGAGAAATGTTAGAACTCCGTCCGTTAAGATGATTAACTCCCCTCCCTGAAAAAAAAGGAAAAATAATAATCCCTTCATCCCTGCGTTGAAATTGATAACGCTATATTTCTCCTTTTGAAACTCGCTGAGGGAACTACACTTTTGAGGTCCTTACGGTACGATAGGTCAGCTTTTTCCCAACGAATTCCGCGGTCGCAGTGGCGGAATCGCGAGTCTTTCTCACGCAAATTCGCGGAACCGAAAGGGCGCTGCGGCGGCGACGCTGTGGGTCCTTGGCGAGGGTGAACCTGTGAGTGTAATCCCGTACGTATAATGACGGTAGCGAGGAGAGGGGCAGTTTGTGTCACATAAACCAGGCTGTGTATAGGGTGGTCAGCCCCCACGCCCAGCCGCGGCTCCTACCTTGTGGTTAGTCCAGACCTTTGTTTGTTCAGCTCCTGCTTGCCCTGCCCTCTTTGTCTCAGCTTAATTACGTTCCCTTTGTCTTTCCATTACTAAATTTGTCGTGGCCAGAGTAATATTTTGAGGACGTTGTGTTACTTTGGGCTGCGGTGTCTCCCGTCCAATATTTATGGAGATTGACTTCGTCGCGGGAATCCCCACTCCGCTCGTGTGAGATCCGCCCGCCAAGCGCTGCCGGGAGTGAGGAGCGGGAGGACGCGCAACTTACAGACACAGAAGAGAGGTCTCGGACGGACGCAGACGAACCCAGGGACATCTCAGAACAACGGCGTTTGCTGCCCCTTCCCCCTGGCACGGCAGAAGGGCGCGTCCGGCTAAATATTCATGGAGGCGGCGTTACACATCCCCCCCCCTGTCGAGTTTCCATCATCCGCAAACTCCCTCAGTGTAACAGGGCTTCTTCTCCTTCCTTCCCTGCTCCCCTCCTTCAATCTCCCTTCTCCCTCCTTCTGTCTTCTCCTTCCTTCCCCGTTTCCCTCCTTCAATCTCCCTTCTCCCTCCTTCTGTCTTTCCCTTCCTTCCCCGTTTCCTCCTACATCTCCCTTCTCCCTCCTTCAATCTCCCTTCTCCCTCCTTCTCCATTGTCCTCCTTCCTTCCCCGTTTCCCTCCTTCAATCTCCCTTCTCCCTCCTTCTGTCTTCTCCTTCCTTCCCCATTTCCCTCCTTCAATATCCCTTTTCCCTCATTCTCCCTTCACCCTTCTATTCCTTCCACCTCCTTCCTTTTCCCTTCTCCTTCCTCCTCCCATCACCTCCCTCCCCCTCCTCCTCCTTTCCTTCTCCCTTCTTGCTAAACCCAGCCCCTCCCCCTCCCCCTCTCCCCCACGCCCTTACACGGCCACACCTTCAGCAGGTCATTCAGCTGGGCAGTTCCCGGCCCTTATGGGGAAGACGCCCACTTTGCTCTCGTCTTCGTTTCGCCCTTTGTGATAAGGAGTTTGGCAAATGCATGGTGAGCGGAGAGGGAGGAGGGAGGAGGGAGGGAGGTGGGAAGGAGGAGAGGAGGGAGGGAGAGGGAGGAGGGAAGGAGGTGAGGGAGGCAGAGGTAGGAGGGAGGGAGGGATGGAGGGAGGGAGGTGAGGGAAGGAGGGAGGGAGAGGAGGGAGGAGGGAGGAGGAGGAGGGAAGGGATGGAAGGAGGGAGGAGGGAGGGCAAGGAGGGAGGGAGCGAAGGAGGAGGGAGGGGAGGAAGAAGAAGGAGGGAAGGAGGGAGGAACGGAGGGAGGGAGGAGAGGAGCCAGAGGGAGGAGGAGGAGGGAGGGTGGGAGGAAGTGAGGGATGGGAAGGAAGGGAAGGAGGCAGGGAGGGAAGGAGGACGGAGGGAGGGAGGGAAGGGCGGAGGGGAGGGAGGGAGGGAGTGGAGGGAAGGAGGGAGGGAGGGAAGGAGCGGACGGTGGAGGGAGAGGAGGGAGGGAGGGAGCGAGGGAGGGAAGGGAGGGAGGAAGGGAAGGAGGAGGGGAGGGAAGAGGGAGGAGGAGAGGGAGGGAAGGGGTGAGGGAGGGAGGGATGGGAGGGAGGCTGAGCGGAGGACGGGAAGGAAGGAGGGAGGGAGGGAGGCGTGGAGGAGTGAAGGTGAAGGAGGGAGGAGAGGGACGCGGAGGGAGGGGAGGGAGGAGGAAGGAGGGAGGGAGGGAGTGATGGCGAGAAGGAGGGAGGGAGGGAGAGGGAGGGAGGGAAGGCAGGGAGGAGGGAAGGAAGTGAGCGAGCAAGGAGGGAGGAGGAAGGAGGGTGGAGAGGGGAAGAGAGGTGGGAGGAAGAGAGGGGTGAAAGGAAGGGGGAAGGAGGGTGCAAGAGAGGGGGAGGGAAGAGAAGGTGGGAGGAAGAAGGTAGGGATCAGAGGAAGGAGGAAGGATAATGAGGAGAGGAGAGAGAGATAGAAAAAGAAAAAGAGAGAGAGAGTCAGAGAGGAGAAAAGAAAGAGAGAGAGAGAGAAGAGAGAATGATGAAGAGAGAGAGAGAGACCGAGAAGAGAGAGAGAGAGAGAGAGAGAGAGAGAGAGAAAGAGAGAGAGAGAGAGAGATGTTAATCACGCTAGTTTACAGCAATGATATTTTTTTTTTCAATTTTACTGCATATATGTTTTGATCTCTAAAATGAACTTTCAAATAATCTTTTCAGATGCTATGACAATAATTCTGATATATGCAAAAACACACAGGCATAAACTTACCTACATTTTCAATCCTATCTCTCGGCTACGGTAGTAATGGTTCACATTTTACACACACACGAAAATCCCGAATCAACACTAAAGTGACCCTGATAGTGACGGCATTAGCACAGGTGATTAATCAATATCAAGTTCCTTCCTCATGTGCGAGTTTTTTTTCCTTTTTCTTCATTTTCATAATCATTTCCTAGCAGAATGAAAAAACTAAAAAAAGAAAAAAAAAAGAGTCGCCAACTATGGATGAGAACGAAAACGGAGATAGAAGAAATCACAGCACATTGCAAACTGATAGAAACGAAACCTGCCAGAATTCAATTATAAACATTAAACGTGCATGATGAAGCACCAGATCCATATTTTTAATCTCGCCATGTAGCCCCAAAGTAATAATTGAAACCAGCGTTGCAAGGGCGCGGACAAAATCCCCATCTCGGCGGCACACAATGAGAAAAAGGGGCAAATGATTTAATGCGGTCCGATTTTTTTTTTCTTCTCCTCCTCTTCTCTCCTTCGTCTCGCCGCAATAAAAATAACTCAAGAGCGTTGCGCCGACACCTGCCGACCATGATACCAGATTGTCCCTATATTAGTCTTCGTTGCCATAAGAGGTTCAGAGGGACGTGGTGGGCCGCGGCGGACTCTTTGTTGCTGGTTGGAGAAGGACGAGGTAGGAGAAGGGCGGTAGAGTGGAGGGCTGGAGAGAGAGGAGGCATAAAGTGAGAAAGGGTTGAGTGAGAGGAGGCTGAATCGAAGAGACAGGATGGAAGCTGGGAAAGGGGCTAGAAGTGAGAGGACTGAAAGTGGGCAGGGAGGAAGTAGAGAGGAAGCTGGTGCGGAAGGAAGAGTATGGAGTGAGAGGACTGAGAGTGGGAGGATGCTAAGTAAGTTGCGACGGCTCTTTTTCCTCCCCTCCTGGTGGTGTGCGGAGGGCTGGTCGATTGAGAGGGCTGTGGTGAGGAGTGGTGCGTGGAGTGTGTTGATGTGGCTGAATTGAGAGGGATATGGAGTGGGAGGGGTTTGAAGTGCCAGCAGGACTGGGATGGAGGTTTGGAGTAGTAGAGAGCAGCTTTGAGTGCGATTGTGTGGCTGGTAGTTGGAGGTGGCTGCATGGTGGGATTGGCTGGTTTAGTAGCGGGCGCTAGAGTGGGAGGGTATGGAGTGATGATGGTGACTGGTAGTGGGAGGGTTGGCAGTTGAGGAGCCGGTGAGTAGGTAGGGCTGGATTAGGGGATTTGGTTGGTGAGTGAGGAACTTGATTTTTAGAAGTTGTGATGTGGGACTGGTGGGCAGGGCTGTATGTTGGGTTGGGACGCTAGACAATGGGAAGAGGTATGGAGTGGGAGGGCATAGGAGTGAATGAGAGCGGGGAGGGGGAGGTAAGTGAGAGGGGCTGGAATAAGAGGGACTGGAGTAGGAGGGTTAGAATGGGTGTGGCTGGGTGGGAGGGGCTAGAATGAAAAGACTGAGTGGAGAGATTGGAGTGGATGGGCTGTAGCGAGAGGAGCTGGAGTGGAGGGGTTGAGTGAGAGTTGGTGGCGAGTGGCTAGAAGAGGAGAGGCTGGAGTGGGAGGAGCTAGAGTGGAGGGACTGAAGTGAAAGGGGCATGGAGTGAGAGGGCGCTGGAGGGGGTAGGGGCTGGAGTGAGAGGGGCTGGAGTGGGGGGAGGGGCTGGAGTGAGAGAGACTGAGAGTTGATTAGCTGAATGAGGGACGTGAGAGGGACGAGTAGGAGGGACTGGAGTGAGAGAAGCTGAAGTGGCAGGGGCTCGGAGTGAGAGTAGCTGGAGTGAGGCGCTGGAGTGCAGAGGGACGGTACGGAGAGACAGCTGGTCTAAAGTGGCAGGGGGCTGGAAGTGGAGCATGCAACGAAAAGTAAACCCGGACAGTGAAAACTAACGCCTGCAGGAAGGGTTAAGGAGCTACAGGAAAAAAGGGAGAACAGATGGGTTTATAAGCTCATCGAAATGCCTGCATGGGTTCTCTACGAAAGGAACAAAAAGGGCTCGGCAGGGTTTGGGTGGGGCGACATAGGGCCTGGGAGGGTCAAGCCGGGTGGAGCCAAGGCTTTTGGCGGCGGATTGAGCGAGGAGGGGAACGCGGGTTCGAAACCTGGCGGCCGCTCTCGCTCCTCCCAGCTGCCATCCACTCTCTGATTATGACATCACACTTGAATAATTCATACAATATGCCTTAATTTCATAGGAAATTTGCATACCAGATTGTCGCGCGAACGTGTTCTCCCTCGTGGTCCCGTGTACATCATGCCATTATCATACTAAGTTGCCCGGGCTGAACCTCCCAGCGGTTCAGAAGCGGAGAGAGGAATGCCGAGGTAGTTGCTACATGCAGAGCTTGGCGATCGACCGAGACCTTATTCGGATTTTATACATTTTATTACACAGCATGTATATGACCTTAATATTACGCATATATACACGACTACACACACATTACACACACACCACAATAATATTTGTGATAGTGTATTGTAGTGGATTTTGTGATGTATTAATGTGATAGGTGTGATGTGTGACAATAATGAATTTTAATGTATAATATGTATAACTAAATATACGATGAATATATATGGAGTATGTAGATATACAAAAAATCACCTAATAATAATAGTATAGCAGTATAAATAAAAATAACTATAATAGTCTATATATAGCTATATTATATATAATATTCAATATTAATAATGTATAATATAGATTAGATAGGATTAGTATACATACATATAATTTATACATACACACACACACATACACACCACAAACACAACACACACACGACAAAACTCCTAAACACACACAAGCATCACACACATATTACTATATATATAATATATACTAACTATAAAAATATTAGAAAGTAGATATAATATAGTTGTAATTTATATATTATATGCTATATATATATTATATGTATAATTATGAGTAATGTATATTGTATAATAACGATGAGTAATATCATAATATAATAAATATAGATGTATTAGTAGTTATATATATTGACATATAATAAATAAACTTTATCACATATGTGTGTGTGTGTGGTGTTTGTGTGTTGTGTGTGTGTGTGTCGTGTCGTTGATGTGTGTGTTGCCATAGTGCCAAAAATCGTGATAACCAAGAAGAATGAAAGGACTACTATAAAATCGGATGAGATAACAATAAAAAATAGGAATGTGCGAGTGTTGAAAACGTGTGTGCTGTGGATGTGTTGTGAAGTGTGCGTGTTGGGTGTAGACAAATAGATAGATAGATATATAAAATGATTGAATGAATACAGTTAGGTTGTATATCGATAGATAGGATACTGTAGACAGAAAAGCTACCATCTTATATTTTATATATAGACTATTATATATATATTATATAAATATATTAATAAATAATAAATTATTAATAATATATATATATATATATATATATATATAATATATATATATATATATATGCAGAGGATCGAGAGAGACGGAGAGAGAGAGAGAGAGAGAAGAGAGAGAGAGAGAGAGAAGAGAGAGAGAGAGAGAGAGAAGAGAGAGAGAGAGAGAGGATATACAACACAAGAAAAGAAAGAGAAAACGAAGAAAAAGAAAAAGAAATAAAAAGAACATTGTATGGCAACGCTCCTGGCTTGCAACACAGGGCAAAGACAAAGCAAAGTAGATGAATTGGTAAATCGTGAACTTAAAAACAATATGGTAGAGAATTTACTCTCATAAAGGCTAATGCACTCAATTTCTGAATTTTGTCAATGAAGTAACTAAGAAAAAAGAAAGGAAAAGAAAAACAAGAAGAGAGAATAGTTAGAGAAGGGGGAGAAAGAGTAGAAGGAGTGGAAGGGAAGATGAGGTTGTGGATGAGAGTGAGAAGGAGGATGAGGAGGAAGAGGAGGGGGAGAAGAGAAGGAGAAAGAGGAGGAAATAGATGAGGAAGAAGGATGAGGGAAGGGAAGAATAGAGATGAGAAAGAGAAAGAGAAGGAAGAGGAGGAAGAAGAAAAAGAAAAAGAATAGAAATTGCTTAGACATTCATTCGATCATGCTTTTAATGTTTATATGAAATTATATTACATTTCAAATGTTGAAGTCAAATACAGATATAATGTCATAGTAACAAGTATACATCTCAAGTGACTAAAAAACCTACAATATTGTAAGTAAACTAATTCATATTTCATTTCTAGCGTTGTGACCACACACACACACACACACGCACACACACACACACGCACACACACACTCACACAAAAAATTAACGAGAGGCACCTGTTATATTTATTACGAATAACATCAAAAAAATATGTTAGACTTCCAGCTGATTTTCGTTAACGATTTTAGTTTTAAAGATATTCCTATGATTCCAACATCGAAAGAAATTTTAATTCGTTTATTTTAATGATCCATACGTACAGTATGGGGAAGTATAATTTGACAGAATAGGTAATTTTTCCTTCTTATCATAACGTACTGTACAATGCACTTATGGTATTTGGATCATTATGAGCTAAACCAATCCGCAGTTACTTTATGTATAATTCCATCATAAAAGTGCTTTTACATCATGTTAGATGTGTGATACAGCAAACTCTTTTTTTCTCTCATGCAATATTTCTATTCTCTCTCATGCTCTGTTTCTATCGGTCTCTTCTTTCTCTCTCTCTCCCTCCCTCCCTCTCTGTCTGTCTGTCTGTCTATCTGTCTGTCTCTCTCTCTGTCTGTCTGTCTCTCTGTCTTTCTGTTCTCTCTCTCTCTCTCTCTCGCCCTGAGTCACCTGCTTGAATATTTACTACAATCTAAGAAACAAAAATAGATATCTGAAATACAGTCCAACAACAGTTTTTCCAAATAGCCACGACAAATTTCTATTTCTCGTTATCAATCCGTTTATGAATAGCTTACATAGTTTATGAATAATCAGAAGACACTGAAACATCAAACATATGGCCTTTCTTCTCGATGCAGTAAAAGTAAACATAAAGAAACCAAAAGAAATTCTCAAAATTCCACAGAACATTCGCGCGGAAAACTAAAACCTGCGATGTATGACGAGCCATGATTATCATTTATGATTATTTTCGTAAATGATGGTTTTAATTTCTTGTGATATCAAGGGAATTCATTTATCGGGTTACACTAGTGCATGTATTCCCAACCTTGGGGCCACGGGGTACCTTCTGGAGGGCCAAGGAGCAATATGAAAATTTTGACGTCGAATTCACGGGGTACCTTCTGGGGAGCAAGGTGCAATATAAAAATTCTGACGTCTAGGGATCGACATTATGATGGGAAACAACAGACTGCCATCGATTTGCCATTACTGGATCACAGCAGAGGGTTTAGTTGTGCGCTTATACCTCATCTACATTATCTGCATATAGCTATCTCTCGCATATCAATACACTGGAATCTTTCCATAAAGTGTTCTTGTCCTACAGCTACTAACACAATGAAATCTCTCGCATATCAATACACTGGAATCTTTCCATATAGCTACTAACACCATGAGCTATTCATAACTAGTATTAACTGACTCTGAAACGATGACAGTCACTGAGCAGGGCAATGGAGATTATTATATGAAAGTCGAGGGCCATAGTATGAAAAAGGTTGTGATCACAGCACTAGAGTTTGGCGATAGATGCATGTGTGTTATCGAGGTGATATAGGCTCACTATTATTATTCTAGAAACTTTAGGCACTAAAACTAAGCTATTCCATGGTAAAAAATGGTGTAGTTGTGTTTCGGTAATGGTAATATACAAAATATATAT